CGGTGGCGGCCTCCCGTCTCGGGAAGGTTTGTGCGAAGCCAGCTTGGGCGGGAGGTGAGGTGTGGCCAAACCCGGCCCCTCGGGGCTGCTGGGGACGCCGGGCAGGGCGGAGGGTCCCCGACGTGCGGGCGGGAGAATTGATACCCATCTGACGGGCTGGGGCAAGGGGATTGTAATGTCTTTTGCGGGAGGGCGGATGGTCAATTTTGCCCAAGAAGACCTCAGCGCCCACCGGAGGGGGAGGTAATGAGATTCATGTGGTAAAAGAGTTTCCTCATTTCAGGTGAGCGAGGCCTGAGTGCTTGGGCTTGGAAGCTTAAGAAGCAGCAGTGCAAAACTTCCCTGCCGGTGTGCGTTTGCTGTGGATGGAGGTGAACTTCGGCCTCAGACCTGCAACGGGAAAGGTCAGTATTGCCAAGAAGGTTATGACTTAACTGCTGGTTGGAAGATGGTTTTTATTTGTTAGAATCATAGCAACTAAAATTGAAAGTGATAGGCTGTGTCGTCCTGCCACTTCAGTCGAGGCCGGATTGCTCCCCTCCGTCTGTTTTGTCTAAAGTGTCATTTGTCCAGTAAAAATTTAACAACCTAAGCCATGGGGCTGCTGGCAGTGCTGTCACTAAGCTATTGCTCACTGGATTTCTGAGCAATGTATTGGCAGCACTTCTTGGCAGAACTGTGGCCCACGTAAGAAATATCTTGGTAATGGGAAGTCTAAAGAGTATAAATGAGAGTTCACATTTTATAAACTAGTTACTGGAAAATTAACATTTATTCTTCTTTTCCTCCTTGACTTTAACCCGCTTCCATTTTGTGTGTGTAACGCTGGTGCTTAATTATAGTGACACCCGTTTGCAGTAACCAGACTGTATCACAGTGTCCCTATGGGGTCCTTCTAATGCCAGTGTAATATTAAAGTGTCAGGCAGGCGGTCTGTGTATTATAAATAGGGTACTTCATCCATGATAAGCGATTATTATCTTTCTTTCCCAAGTGTAAAAGACCTATATAACTCAACAAGGTGCGAGTGATTTAGGCCTCCTGAGTAAAAATCCAATGAGTCCTGAAGGGGACCCTATGATGTCGTTGTCTTGTTGCTGAACTTGAGATATTCAATTTATTATACTGGAATATATTTTTCTGAAGTCAACATTGGGTAAAATAATATGAGAGGCTGTTAGACCAACAATACAACACGATTTAGTGTCCCTCTGTGTCGGCCTTCTAAAAACCTTAATCACCCTTGGTAAAAGCAGAAAGCTGCTGTTAAAGTTTACTGGCCATTGGTGAGCAAACAATATTAGTTACTGCTTTGAATTGTTTTAATAATTTAGAAAAAATGCATTTCATTTTTTCATTCATTTGCAATTATGTGGGTAGTGTTCTCGTACTTAAAAGGCCTAAGTTGCGCAAAGTTTTATGCACATTCTTAAATTCAGACTTATTTATTTCTAGTAATTATATTTAGATAACTCTTAAAAGTAGAATTGTGTGCTTAACTTCACATATTTGAAGGATTAAGGGTTATAGTTTTGACGCATTTTACTATTAGCCATATGTTTTATTGAGTTATAACTATAAAAACAGAAAACAAAAGCCCATTCTGGTATGGGTTGGCACCAGAAAAAAGCATGTAATCAATTTAATAATTATTATATCACTTTTTTAACACTGAATGTTATATGGTGTTTATGACATTACACAGTGTCTCTGCTGAAGCTGTGTAAAGCTCCCCCAGCTAAAGCAGTCTTGGAAATAGGAAAGTCAACTTTTGAGTGAGGGAGGAAATCCTGACAAATATGCAATTCAATATAAACATGCTCACATGTAGTTTTCACTGGAGGACAAAGGGGGCTTTTACTCTGCTGTTAACACCAAGAAATATAATAGAGAATCCGACATGACATGAGTCAGTTGTGATCATGCAGCCACAGACCTCTCTCCAATGAAATAAGCGCTGCATCCATTCTTGATAATACTTACTTTGTTATTGTTGTTTGGCGAAAAAGTCTTTTAAATAATTCTGTGCCTCTCACACCTCTGGCCATGTTTAAATTGGCATTTTTTTTTCCTAAAAACACTCCACCTTTGCTACTGCTGGTGAACTGTAGCAACAATGAGGGTGGCACTGGGAGCAAAACAGTGGTAGGTATGGTGTGTTCATTAATTTACCATTGTGACAAATCATGTGAGGCATAGACAGTGGTAGTAAAGTCATCAGAGCCAACAAGTGCACTTCTGTACAAATTCTCCCATTGTTTCTGTCATTAGGAGAATTTAGCTAATGTGGCAAGAGTAGAAATCCTAGTGGAAATGTGTAATAAGGAAAAGTCCTAGTGGTTTTTTCTAAACATGGATAGCAACGGTTTGTATCACATATAACTTGAAAATCTGTTTTTATGCTTTCAAATAACATGACTATATAATCATTGTGATATCAAATGTCTGAAATTAAAATAAAATACAATAAAATGAAACTTTTTACTGCCAATAAAGAATAAATTGTGAATAATAAGTAGAGCTCAAGCTACTTTTGTTTGTGGATCTCATAGTGCTTACCTACAAGCGCAGATAAGTATTCCCATCCCAGATGTAGAGAATTGAAAACATATGACCTAGATGTTAGGATAATTTGTGCTAGTTTGTGTTTCAGAGGACAAAGCAGAGGCATTATTAAACAGGCAAGACAGTAAGAAATTCTAACTGTAATTGTATTCTTCACAGAATGGCCAGCAGTCCTGAGAATAACGGATCCCTCTCCATTCAGAAAGGTACACGCTCAGAAAGTTCCCAAGCAAAGAAGTCCCAGCATGCAGAAGAAGCAATCTTTTACATGAACTGCCGAGCAGCTTACCTGACTGTTTTAAAAAGCAGTTTAGAAAATATTAAATCAAAAGAACAACTCCTTTTAGGTAATGATTAGATATTTTTTTCCCCATAACTATTGTGTGTGATGATTACAGTGGGTAGTTTACAAACAGCAGTCAGCAATTCAGTAATGAGAGTATCCCAATGCATAAACTCAGAAACTGTTTTAAGGAATTTACAGTAGTTTTAGATAGGGTTCAGATTTCAAGTGTTGGTGGCTGTATCTTTGAAGACACTTTCATCATTTACCTGTTATAATATATGTCACATAGTGATCTTTCAGAGTTTCTAGAAACTACCATTCCTCAAAGTTTTTCATTTTCCTCAAATCCTTAATCTTTGTTGCTAGGTATTGGATGACTCGTGGAAGTGGGAATAGTATACAGAGCTTTTCATCTGTAAATCACCAGTATAAATGGGCAGAAGTCAATACTAGCTGACAGCTTACAGGGGACCTGAGTGAGTTGTTTAACACCACCAAATTTGATGGTAGCATTGTTGCTTACTTGAGGTGGGCCTAGATACTGCTTTTTGATTGTGACATTTCTGCAATAAATCTTTCCCTGTCCCTGACAAATGATTATGTGAGTTGGTCTCAGTTCAGTTTATAGTGGGCAATTGCCCTGGCACAGAAAATCGCCACAACTGGCATTAATTGGCACAGAGGTTTGCAGGCTCGTAGGAGAGGTTGTTACTGGAGGCATGGATAGGGTAATTTACCCCTAAAGATAGTCTCACAGGTCAGTTCTAAGCCACTTTGAGTAATATGTAAAAATACTGCCTTTCCTCTACCAACTTTATGTGATCAAATGGACTGTTTCAGACACCGGTGTTTCATAAGAATTCTTACTCTTATTTAAACTCCTACTGAATTACAATGCTCCCATAGACTAAAATCAAAATTTTTCATTTTTTCATCCATATTGTATTTGTGTATAAGTGGTATTGCTGTCAGCAGTACAACAGGAAAAAAATATCTCTGAATGCTTCAGCTGTACGAAATAAAGGTGTTAGTAGATACTGAAAGCTGTGGAGCTTGACAGCTTTTGTTTTGAAAACCTATGGAATTTCAAAGTTCCTTGTATGGAATTATTAGGAAAGTTACAAAAAATTATCTGAAAAATGGTAGTTAGGGCTGTGTATTGGAAATTGATTTCTTTAAAATATATCTTAGTGACCGAGTAATATAAGGAAGGAGTAAGATAAGACTGAGTAATAACCTGTTTCAGTTGTGAAATAGGTTTCACTATCCCAGATAAAATTTCTCAAGCAAATATAATACCAACTTTGCTATCTCTTGGAGTTGTAGGATTGTGTATTATGTCTTATCATGTTTGGTGTTTGTTGGGGTTTTGGTTTTTTTGTTTTTTTTTTTTTCTTTCTTAGAGCATTTTTGTCCTTTTGTGAAAAAGTTTATTTATGGTTGTATGTAATAGCATGGTAACTATTGTGTGTGATGATTACAGTGGGTAGTTTACAAACAGCAGTCAGCAATTCAGTAATGAGAGTATCCCAATGCATAAACTCAGAAACTGTTTTAAGGAATTTACAGTAGTTTTAGATAGGGTTCAGATTTCAAGTGTTGGTGGCTGTATCTTTGAAGACACTTTCATCATTTACCTGTTATAATATATGTCACATAGTGATCTTTCAGAGTTTCTAGAAACTACCATTCCTCAAAGTTTTTCATTTTCCTCAAATCCTTAATCTTTGTTGCTAGGTATTGGATGACTCGTGGAAGTGGGAATAGTATACAGAGCTTTTCATCTGTAAATCACCAGTATAAATGGGCAGAAGTCAATACTAGCTGACAGCTTACAGGGGACCTGAGTGAGTTGTTTAACACCACCAAATTTGATGGTAGCATTGTTGCTTACTTGAGGTGGGCCTAGATACTGCTTTTTGATTGTGACATTTCTGCAATAAATCTTTCCCTGTCCCTGACAAATGATTATGTGAGTTGGTCTCAGTTCAGTTTATAGTGGGCAATTGCCCTGGCACAGAAAATCGCCACAACTGGCATTAATTGGCACAGAGGTTTGCAGGCTCGTAGGAGAGGTTGTTACTGGAGGCATGGATAGGGTAATTTACCCCTAAAGATAGTCTCACAGGTCAGTTCTAAGCCACTTTGAGTAATATGTAAAAATACTGCCTTTCCTCTACCAACTTTATGTGATCAAATGGACTGTTTCAGACACCGGTGTTTCATAAGAATTCTTACTCTTATTTAAACTCCTACTGAATTACAATGCTCCCATAGACTAAAATCAAAATTTTTCATTTTTTCATCCATATTGTATTTGTGTGTAAGTGGTATTGCTGTCAGCAGTACAACAGGAAAAAAATATCTCTGAATGCTTCAGCTGTACGAAATAAAGGTGTTAGTAGATACTGAAAGCTGTGGAGCTTGACAGCTTTTGTTTTGAAAACCTATGGAATTTCAAAGTTCCTTGTATGGAATTATTAGGAAAGTTACAAAAAATTATCTGAAAAATGGTAGTTAGGGCTGTGTATTGGAAATTGATTTCTTTAAAATATATCTTAGTGACCGAGTAATATAAGGAAGGAGTAAGATAAGACTGAGTAATAACCTGTTTCAGTTGTGAAATAGGTTTCACTATCCCAGATAAAATTTCTCAAGCAAATATAATACCAACTTTGCTATCTCTTGGAGTTGTAGGATTGTGTATTATGTCTTATCATGTTTGGTGTTTGTTGGGGTTTTTTTTGTTTTGGTTTTTTTTTTTCTTTCTTAGAGCATTTTTGTCCTTTTGTGAAAAAGTTTATTCATGGTTGTATGTAATAGCATGGGATTGTGTTAGGAAACTCATGAAAGTGTCTTTCAGTCTTGTTTTCTACCTGGAGTTTTGTGATGTGAAAATCTTAGCTTGCTTTATTGGAAAAAATGTTTCCAGCTCACATGGTTGACAAAGAAAACATGAGAACATAAACCTTCAGTTAGATAAAGAGAACCGAAATGTATCATTAAAAAGCTAATGATTTTTATTTTTGTGGGTTTTGGGGTACAGCGCAGAATGCACTTGGGATTGGTGGTAGTACAGGTTGCTTTCTCATAGTGTCTCATGAGTCCTCCTCATAGATCATGATGCTAGTAAAAGGTATGTGTATTATGGCATTGCATTTGTTTGTAATAAAAAACCCCCAAGCAACGGCCAAAGGCAAGAACGTGCTAAGCTATCAAATAATTTAGTTATATCATAATTCTAGTGACCGTATTTTTCTTTTGCATATGTGAGGAAATATTTCTTACTAATGGCTGCATTGCCCGTGCCTAAAATACGTGAGGTCTCCACGTGGAAACCACTACTATAAAAGCTGAGTGTACTTCTCTGTTGCACTCATTGTTTGTAGCTTCTTTCCCTATATCAGTACATGAAATTCTACCCGTTAGCAAGTACATTCTTTCAGCATGTGACTTAGTGTTATCCAGGCTTTCTCAGCTGTAATAAAAGTGCCTTTATAACATCCTAATGATAGTTTTGGATAATCTGGATTTTAAGATAGGAGTGGTGTGAACAAATGTCATCTCTTTTATATATGCTTTGGCTTTCATCTCTATCCATATGCCACTTCACTACATAGCAAGTGTTTGGGCATTTTGGTTTCAAGGTCAACTCAGAAAGAGCAGTTAGTTGCTCTTTCTCCCAGTCTTTTGAGAGATATTTAAGAACTTCTTTTAAAATTTGCAAGCATTGAGAGTTATTATAGACTTACGTTGCATCTTAAGTAAATTCTGGCATTTATCAAGTGAGTGGTGCCAGTGTTTAAGCATCTCTTGCTACATGATGTTTGGCTAATATTCTAAACTGTGAAATATTCACTTAGAGATTGGCCCTGTGAAATTTTATTTGTAGGAGTTTTACTTACTCATGGATAGTAGCTTCATTTTCTGTGGTATAATATTACTTAAGGTATTTAGCAGAATCAGTCTGTAAAGAAGTATAAATAAAAGGTGCAATCTAATTGAACTTTCAAAAATACAAACTTGGGAGGCATGTAGGGTATGGCAAGTGTTGATCTCCCAGGATATATAAAAATACGGAATTGTCGTGTATTTGAAGGATACTCTGTTAAATGTAAGTGAATACTGTGCTATATTGACATTCCAGGGAACTCAGCTATCCACGTAAACAAATACACAGACTAACTGCCCTTCCTTGGCTGACCTTGACGTTGAAATCCTTAAACAATTGCTATGTGCCCAAGCGTTGCATGGATAAAGATGTAAGCTTTGCTGTATTCTCCTGACTCTGCTTGTAGAGGTGACAGGGCAGAAATCTTTATTTAGTCCTTGGCATTCAACTGGAGGTTAGCAACAAAGGTGTCTGGTTTTGTTTGTTTATTTTTATGGTGACACAGTTGCCTACTGTGAATTGTAACGATGCCACCACCTCATTTCACAGATGCTACTGAACTGCTCTCAGCCGGTATAGACTTGGTCAGTTGGCTAAAAATCAAACTGCCAGCATAGGTAAAGATGAAGGATCTTTTGCGTTTCCCTAAAAAACTTGATTATATGGGAGGGTATAAAAGCACCTCTCCAGTTTCAGATAGACTGTGCATTAGAATTTAATTCAGTTTAACATAATGCCTTCTTCACGCTGGAAACTGGTGAAAGGATGCTTTCAGTAAAGACTTTTAAGAGGCTAACTAGATCTGGCAAATTCATTTTGAAGAATGCCAGGTGTAGGTAGGACTGGTTGCATGTATGGTATTGGCTGTTGGCCTTAGCAATGTATGACTGTTGGTATCATATTTCCTTTACATTTGAAATTCATGTTGCATAATTTGAATTGCTAAGTTCAAATGTACAGATGTGACATAAAAGATTTTTTAAGATAAATTCTACGCTAGGTCTCAGTTCTTTGCAAAATGAATGGAAAGACTTATGTGGATCTTAGTAGAAATAGGATCTAATAATGTGCAAGCTTACAAATAATAGGTTCTTGATATTAAGGCAGGGGATACAGACACTGGGCTGAATTTTACACTTGTCACTTGAGGAGACTGTCTTTGAATTAATGGATATTTTGTTCAATTAATGATTTGAACCCGTTAACTTTATTTAAGGGAGACATCCCATTGAGTTTAGTAGAACAGTGCATATGAGTAAGTGGAAGCTTTAAGCAAAATATTTCCTGTGATATTGTTGTGTTACAAAAAGTCACAGACTGCTCTCTGATTTCTTCCTTTTTCTGTAGAAGAAAGTGGGTGTGACTCTCAGCAGTGCAGCATATGTCATCTCTGTGCTGGATCATAGTTCGTGAGGGATGATGTAGGATGCCAGGCACTGCCTGTTTCATGACTCCTTTCAAAAGAATATGTGAGTGAGCTTATCTGCCCCTCAGGCTGCTTGAACATCTCTGGTACAAACCACAAAATTCAAGGCCAGGGAAGGTCACAGTCAGTCTGTATTAGTGCAGCACAGGATTGAGACTATAAGCAAAACTGTCCTTCAGACCCACTTTTCCCTTGGATTGATTGGGCTTAAAAAAAAAAAAAGTCTGAACATGGAAAGTGAGTAAAGGATGTTTTGAGAAAACTCCTTTACTGACAGCTGGAATAGATAGTTAATATTGTTTTTATTGTTCAGTACTTCAACAGGCTGGAAGAAATCCATCTCAGAATACAGTTAATAAATATTGGACTTCACAAACGACTACACTGAATTTTGATGATTTTTGTACTATTTTAAAAAAAGAAAAACCAGCTACAAAAACTGAACTGCTCGAAGCATTTGGAAGAATAGACACAGATAACACTGGATATATTTTACATGATGAACTCTATAAAATTCTTACAACGGTAAGTATCAGTAGAAACTTAATTATCCATCTTTAACCATTAATAGAGATTTTGGAAATTAGATGGTAAAACTATTCTGAATGTGTAAACACATATTCCTGATCAAAAGAATCAATAACTGATTCCTGGTTTTGGGGGTTTTTTTTGCAATTTTATGTCTGATTTTCTGTGGTTATCTGATCTTTCTTCCATTTTTTTCCCCTTACAGTCTTGCAGTTGATAACCTGTCTGTCCCTTTCAGCAATTGTGCCTTGAAGGTGGAAGCTGGCAGAAAAAATATTTTTCATACTTTCACAGAATGCTTTGTTGAAACCCTATGTATGCTGCACTGAAGCAACAGAAACGGAAGCACATGTCTCTCCCTTGGTTCAGTTACTGCAAATCCCTCTATTCTCTACAGAGCCCCTCTGCAGCCCTCTGGGGTTATGAACTTTTATCAAGAGAATTAATGACATACCTTTGTTGTTCTCCCCTCACAAGTTGTTGTCTATGTATGTTCAGATACAAAGTTAAAAAAATATTTTTATGTTATACATAAAATATCAGGGTCAGTGCTTTAGTTTTATCACAGCTATGATGTTCTGTCACGCCAGTGACCTCACTGGATCTTATAGTTAGTTCATCAGGGTCTTAAAGTAAACTGTCAAAGTAAGTCAATACTTTGGTTAGAGATTATGCGTTGTCAACCCAAAGCATGCAAATGTCATAAGGCTTACCTGAACATGTCATTAATATGGCTTAAAATAATGACATTAAAAAATATCTGGAACTTCTTATTTAGCTGCTGAACTGCCACTGTATTTTTAGGTTTCATGGTATAATCTGAAAGGATAGAAAAGACTTCTTTAAAAATAGCAGCTGAGATTTTTATGATGATATGAGATTGTAGGAAATGCAACTTTAAAGAAAACATTAGCAAGAGTATGTTAGAATGATGAGCGTTGGCAAGATTAAAATCCAGGTCCTCTGAGGATCTGCAAAGCAAGCAAACAAAACCCCTGAAACAGAACAGTTTTTCCAAGTTGGTGTAGAGCTGATGCTCTGACTTTAAACTACATAGATGTACGTCACAGATGATTACAATGATTTTCTTCCTCTGTTCTGTCAGGTTTTTTGCTCTGTACAGCCAAAAAAAACCCCTTCATTGCAAAAGCCAAACATCTTGCACAGCACAAACACTAGGGAGCAGTAACAATTAAAAATGGACTAGTTGTAGAATTCTAGTAGAGTGCTCAAAAGTGAGAAACAATTTTAAGGAAGTGTAGAGGAGAGCAAACTGGAACAGAAGAAACAAACTATTTACATACTATATTTGTTGTGGTTGACCCAATAAAACAAGATTATTTGTTTAATTCAAACATTGTGGCAGAACTTTCAGTCCTCATTCTGCATGAACAAAAAGATATAGTTGCAACGGTAAGGAAATATTCTTTATATAACGAAAGATAGAAGTAACAGATGTTGAGTGCTACTGTAGTTATGCTATGAAGAGCTATAAACTCTGTATTGTTACGTAAAGTCAGAGCATTGCTTCATATAGACCCAGACTGAAGAACTTACTAGATGTGCTTGCAGTAGCAACTAGTGCTGTTCAAAGAGGGGAGGATCAGGATTTGATTTGTTGCAATCCACTATGGCTCTGGGACCGTATGTCCACATCACATCTTTACCAACAATGAAGTTGTTCGCACTTTCAGTCCCAAGTTTACACCATGCATCTATAACTGAGAAGTGATGTGAAGTAGATTTCTGTACAGCAGTCATATATTGCTCTGTCATTGCTAACAGCCCTGTGAATCTGTGTGGAGGAAATTGCTGGAGGACCTTGTGGAAGACATGCTTTCTTCCTGAGAGATGTGCCTTGTGTCCACATTGCAAGTGGGGCACTTGAGATGGTATTTTGACATACAACTTCAGACTTGGTTCCAAAGGAGAGAAATTGCTTTGGCTTCACACTCATGATTCCAAGTAGAGATAGGTGCAAGGCAAATTCATGCCTGGAATAACCCTTCTAGTGAACTAAATTGCAGATGTAGACTGGTATAATAGGATAGCTCAAGTAAATAAGTGAAACTAACCATTATGAAGTTAGCTCTTCGTTAGCATGCTACAATATAAGTAAGAATGACTGAGAGCTGGGATTCCTCAGTTTATGGAAGATTTTCTGAAATTGACGTGTCATTCATGGTGGGTTTTCAGAAGACACCACAAAATTGCATAAACTGATGCAATTCATCTGTTCGGTATATAGCAGCATTGTAGGGACATAATTTTTTACGATGTTGACCTCTACTTTGATGATTCCAATCAAAATCCATTTAAATCTGCTGCAAGATAAGATTCCCTGAAAGGATATTAAAAGAATCTTTCTTTGTGTTTTTATTAAATGTGTGCTGTAGGTGAACAGCATTCTTGATTAGGAACCCAAAGTGAGTTGGTTTTTTTTTTTTTTATTGCAGAGAGGTGAAAAAATGACTTGGGATGAAGTGAGTTGTGCTGTAGGTGAACAGCATTCTTGATTAGGAACCCAAAGTGAGTTGTTTTTTTTTTTTGTATTGCAGAGAGGTGAAAAAATGACTTGGGATGAAGTGAGTACCATTACTAAACAAGCTGATTTTAACTGCAGTGGCAAACTTGACTACAACAAGGTATGACAAACAGAGTGATAGTATTTGTTCTTGCGTTACTGGCTTGATGTTATTGACAGTATTAGCATTATCAAACACAATCCATACCACCTCCATGTGTTGGTCTATTGATGACCTTATCCTAGGCGCCCCCTCCCCTCTGCCAACTGCCTACATACTGGAACATGGGCTGATAAGTATTTCTGTTTCACCCACTTTATCTGGCTATTATCCTTGAAAAGGTCACTTGCTGCGAGTGAACTTAATGTATTAGGCAGAGCCTAATAGTAAGCACGAAGCCTAACAGTATGTGTGAAGGTAAGAGTTAAAGGAATGGCAGAATAAAGATGACAATTGACAGCAAACTTAGCAACTCTCATTGATTAGCTATGTCTGTGACATTTCATAATTTCTTGTGTGGGGGACATTATTGTATATGTTGAACATCTTATTTTCAAGATGCAACATCTTATCAGGTTTTTTTGATGTTATCTCTAAGCAATGACTAAGTTCTGAACTGAATAAACAGTCCACAAAGATTTGTACATACATATAGTTTCACAGGAGAAAAACAACCCCCTATTAAGAATCCTATGTTAAAAAAAAATCAGTCTTCAAATATCTAGAAAGAAATATAAATCACCTCTTGGGTTGAAAGTCACACTTAATTTTTATTCCATATTTGGACCTCCTTGTTGAATCATGGCTCCATTTTACTGTGTCACTTGAGTGGTTGCTCTGATTTGTGAAAATTAAAATTAATGTTGTGCTTTAAGAGAAAATGCATTACATCTATTGACCTGTCCTTTCCTTGCTAATGTTACATTTTAATCCTTAAAACTGTGAGAAAGAATGTTTCACTTAACAGATTACTTTTCTTTATCTAAAGTTTTGTGACTTATACATGACAACCAGTGAGCAGTGCTGCAAGACTGCACGAGAGAAACTGGAATTTGATAGTCGATTGAGGCAACAGCAGTTTGGAAGTCAAGCTGAGACTTCCTTTGAAGGGATCACGCTGCCAGTGTCAAAACCATCACCAAGAGTCTCGAGGAAAACTGATCACAAACTAGCACCAACAAAAGGTATTTATATTTCATATTGAGAATTTTCATTCTGGTGGAGATCATGCTCTGGATTAATGAACAGTTGAGTATTTGTTTAATTTTTCTCAGATTAGTGCGGATGTTATTGACTAATACTCATTTCTACTGTGGCAATCGCATAAATGTTTTGGTAGAATATCTGACCCCCGTGTTCAAATGGACTTTGGCTGCATCTATGATCTGAAGCTCTCAAATTCTTAAGGGTGAATTTTGTTGACTGTCATGTGACACAGTCCAGAGGGAAGACAGAAAATGAATGCTCAGATGTTGCAACACAGGCAAATTATTTATTTCCTTCCCAGATCAGAGATGAAACCTTAAACATTTATCAATAAGCAGTCTGTTTGTTTCAATTATTGAAGCCACTTTTCAAGCACAATCATTATGGGAGCTCAGTGTTCTTTCTGAAGTTACAAAGATACTTAAAAACCTTCCCAAGCTGGAAAAAGACCACAGGCTAACAGACTGCAGAGGTACCATGTATGAAATATTTGCATTTGTATGTAGTGTGCATAGTTGCTTCAATTCTAGGCAATACTGAAGAGGTGCAAAGATGACAGAACAGTGATGAAGACTGAGTTTATGTAGCTAAATCAACAATTGTATCAGCAGAGTTGCCCCAACATAAGGAACCAGAAGGTAAAGGCGTGGAAGTAATTGCATTGGGCAGCTGCGCATAAATGATGTGCTATCTGGCAGGGAAACTACATTGTCCTGGAAAGAAAGAACCTTAAAATAGAAGCAGGTCAAACCTATCCACTTAGGACAGATTTACTTTGATTCCAAGGTAAATGGAATCATGTAGTAACAATTTCTTGTCCTTCAGGCAGATTTGGATTCCAAGGTTCTGCCATTCATATGCCCATTCACCTGGGATGTACAGTAAGGGAAGTAAAGATGTCTGGCTAATGAATTATTAAATGTTACATAATTATAAGGGAAGTCAGCTTATCTGATTGAAGCTCGTCATCCATTTTTTCGTTGTGTGCCTATAAATGTAGGGCCTTATGAAAAATAGCACTAGGAGTGGGTTGAAATAATGTAATTGTAACTAAATACCTATGTTTATAGGTGATAGCAGAACTCCTTCAAGACCCTCATCAGCTCAAAGTTGCAAAGCATCCGTTTCGACCACTATCAGCAACTGTGCCAGTAGCAACAGAAACACAAAGCTAATTGAGCCAGACACAATAAAGGTATCATGTAAGCTAGTCATCTTGAAATTATGCTGTTTTCCTCTAGGCACATATGTTACTGCATTTTAAATAAGAAACTGTTTTTCTCTTATTTTTAGCTTATGTTTTATTAATAGTTTGTCAAGGGCAGCTATAAACTAGTGAGAGGTTTCTTGATACTTACTATTATTAACATTTTTATATACTGTTGGTTTTGCTGACATCTAGTTATTGAAAATAATTTTTCAGGTGTGAAGGTTTAATAGAACAAAGTGTGTTTTTTATAAATGAAACCACTGTTGGATAAAATGTTTAATGACTTTTTGAGAAATTTAAAATTTAATAATTTATTAGGTTGGTGAGAACTTTAAATGCTTTAGTAGTCTGAAAGATTGTGTATCATAAACCTTTATATGAAAGGTAATTGGAAATAAATAACAGATTTGTGAGCATGTACAGTTTGTTGGGCATTAATTTGTAAATATATGCTGTAGCCTGAAAATATTGATTCTTAGTTAGACTAATACGTTCTATCAGTATTTTCTTTTAAATAAATCACTCATTCAATATAAATTCCTGTGGGAGAAAGACAACAAAGTCACTTTGCTAAGTCAATATTTGTAGAGTGTTAATATTGATCTTTTACCTTTGTTTTCCCTTTCTTGACTGAACCTTTACTAGTTTTCTTTCAACAGAAAATAATAGCTGTAGAAACATAAAACATTAACTGGAAACTGCTAGGATACATTAAAAATGTGCACCTTGAGACTCCTGTATAAAAGGGAAAAAATGGTTATGACCACATAGTATAACTACTGCTAGAAAACGGAACTGATTGTTCTCATGAGTTACATTTTTGTTTCAAATAACAACTCAGTATTTGTTATTGAACTCTGAAGTCCTTTATATCATAGACATTGCTATACAGTGACACTTGTTCTATATTAAAATTTAAAAACATAATCTCAAAGGAATTTTTTGCAGTGTGTTTAGGTATCTGGACCTCCATGCAATTTAACCTGCAATTTCACCTTGTTCAAACATGATATGTAGTATATAAAACCATTGCACAATTTCCCAATATTGTATTCCTCTTTCTTTGTACAAGCTAGTAAGAACTGACTGAAAAAAAGCAGCTGCAGATATCTATTACTATTGATTAGCATCATACAAAACCTGAAATCAGTCAATAAACGTGAAAAGGTGTAAGAAGAACTACTAATTTTTTTAACCCTAACTATTAAGGGCACAATGCGAACTTTGTCAAAATCAATGAATAAATACACAGTGATTCATTTGGGCTGCAGATCAGAATGTAGCACCCACAATTTTTCTTATTTATCTTCTATTCAGAATTTTTTTTTTTCTGCAGTTCACCTGTCTTTTTGGGACAGTAAGAAAATACTGCCATCATGAAACTGGACCAAAGCCAACTGTAAATTTCTGACAGAAGAAAACGGTGGAAGTCAAAACATGGTGAACATCTAAATTTAAAAACCCTTAGAAAACATGGAATGTATTCATGGTGCATTCTTCCATGTGTTTTCTTTTTGTCAGTGGAGTTTATGATATGTTCAAAGCCATGTAAATAACTTCGGGGAGGAAAAAAAATAGTTACAGAAGTGCTACAGATGTGCATAGTCAACATGCTGACCTGTTGGGCTTCAACTGTAGTTGAATCACAATTAATTAAAGCATGGCTAATGGAGATCTTAAATTTCTGCAAAATATTCTTCTTGTTGGTTTTAGTCAAGATTGAAACACATTAACAAAAAAAGAAAGCAGCGTATCATGTTCTAAAATCTTCTCTCTGCGTTGGGTAGCTAAATTCTCCCTGCTAAGGATTCTCACCTTTGCATTCTGCTCTACTGAAGTGAGTGAAGACCTGCACACACAGTGGGTAGCAAAAGAAGTACCTGAGAAAAGACCTTTTCCTGAAAGATACAGTTACATGCTTCCACTCGTATCGGTGAAGTAGCCTCATGCAATTGAACTAGCAAGACTTTTTCTGTGCATATGGAACAGGTTTGTACACAACAAAGCGTTGAACTGAAGTTCTTTGCTTTAATCATAGGAACAATTCCTCTCACAAACATTGCTTTTTATTTTGAATTATACGTGAGTATGTGGACTATTCAATAATGACTTAATGCATTCTATTGCTATTACAATTTATTTGGGCAGTGACCAGCACTGGCAGCAACAGGTAGTCCCTAACGTTTCTTTATGATCAACATTTTTAATACAAACATTTCCCACTATGTTAGCTATTACTTGACAACTCTTGTTCTGCATTGAAGTGATGTACTAAAATCAAAACAGAAAAATCATCTTTTTGCTTCCCAAGTTTACATACCTGTTTGTAATTTGACATGGATAACTTAGAGAATATAGCACCACCTTACGCCCTCTGCAAGAATAACAGTTTAGTATTTGATTCCTAAAGCATTGTCAAACTTCTGCTTACTGTTGCTCGCATCTTAACCTGCACATTGTTCCTTGAGATATTTTCCCTGCTTACTTGGATCGTTTGATGTTCCTGTTTTAACAATATCTATCTGAATGCAAAACTGCAAAAAAGGTAGTCTTTTGTCTGAAATAACAGCTAGAAAAACGGAAGGTAAACGAACAGGACAAAGCTACTCTCTATGGACTCACTGTGAGATGATGGTTTGAGGACCACTGCCATAGTGAGAAAGGGGGAATAGGACGTGGTTGTTAGAGTAATTTTTGTACCTGAAAATTGTCACAGTATCTTTTTGAATAGTTATAGCACATTTGGACTGCTGTTTAGACTTGTATTATGTACTTTTATAAGTAAACCCAGCCATGTTCCTTCATTAGCAGACCTTTTGACTTTGATCTTTTTGAAATGTCGTTCATTTTTCAAACAGTTTTGTAAGGTATTAAGCTTTGAGACTATGTGAGCTAACAACCAGTTATCTCGGCTGTGTCAAGTTTTAAGGAAAAAATCTCAACTTACTGCATATGGACTTTAGAGGAAGTTAGGAGTCATGCAAGTATTGGAATAAGCAGTTTACTGAGAATGGAATAGTACTAGAATGATTTAACAGATTAAACTACATATTCGAATTCTACCACTGATTTATGTTGACTCTATTGTTAATATCAACTCCCATTATCCACTTGTTTGACTGAGACAACCCTATCTGTTGCTCAAAATTTAACCCTCACCATTAAGTCCCAGTAACTTTTGTCTCATTTCACTTCTTTGCTAATTATTCTTTGTGATCGGACCCCTTTTGCTTGTCCCGTCACTAGAAATCTAGTCTCATGGATAAAGATCAGTATAAAATTTTTAGGTGGCCTTGTTAATTAGGTCTATACTGCTACATAAAAGGTGGCCAGGGACTGATCTCTGACTCTGTGGACCAAGTATCATAGGCAGCTTCACGTCCATGAGGCTTAGGCCTAGCACCCTCTCAGGCAGATTGTGTCCACTTTAAATGGCACTTGGCTTGTTTTTTTTTTCCTAGAACCCATGTGGTAGTGTTGTGAGTTTAAGAAATTATGTTTTCCAGTGCCATTCATAGTCTTATGTGTCTTCATCCCAACCAAGAGTACACATTACAAATTGTGGGGTAGGTCATGGCATGGAGGGTGCAAGGTTGTAAAACCTAGTGGGATGATGTTGACTGTGTAGGTGACAGAAAGCCAAATCGAGTGCAGTTACATGCATATGCCTTTTTGAAAGTGGTGCCTGAAGTGAAGAATCCTTTGAACTGTGTACACATTTTCTTGAAGAGCGCTAGTTGTAGTCATCTGAAACAGAGCCATGGAATGAGCTAACAGCTAAACAGTATGGGTGGTAGAGTGTTGAATGCTTCACCTTGCTTCTTGCTGTCTTTTATTTAACAGTGTAGATGTAGCTGGTGAGATGAGGTCATTGTTCCTCTAACAACATGCTCTTCCCTCTGCATCTCTGATGGCAGAGAAGATAGGTTTCCACAAAGGTCCCAGATCCGACATGTTATCTTAACTGGAAAAGATTATGGGAGATTATGGGAGGGGAGGGACTTGGATATTAGTTTCCATCAGGGATTGGATGTTCCACTGTCTTTTAGATAGCTTAATTGATCTTTGTCTTTTTGATAGCCTTTGCTCTGAGGAAGTAGGTTTGCTTTTAAAGTCTCTTAGAAGTTCCTTAGCAAAGTCTTAATTTTCTTTCAAATCCCAAACCTCCAAAGAACAGCACAAAGTGAGTTGCTAAGTATATAGTATTTGTACTTAAAAGTACTCCATATTGTATTACTCCTGTATGCAAGTATAATTAACAGAATTTGACATCTAAAATTGGTATGATGCATTATGCTACCAGAACTATTGGGGTACTGAGGCTGAAATAATTGTTGCTTTTAGATCAACATCTTGGATAGGACAGGATAGTCTTACCATAACAATAAGTAATTTGAGATTAAGATTGTTTCCGGGTACGTAAAATTTGGAATTCTCAGTATTTATCCACATTGATGTTTTGAGGATGATATAGTTTTATTCCTTTAGTGTGAAGATTCTTTTCATAGCTGAATTTGTGCTATTTGGGTGAAACTGATAAAATAAGAGTGATTCAGAGGCAGAAAATGGAGTGAGAGATAATATTAGATTCCACAGTCTTTCTATGCCAACACAGGTGGTGAGTTTGCTCAAAGTACACTGCGCTCTTTGTTTTGACTAATCTATAAAACGTTCTTAAAGCACAAAGGAATATAATGAAGATTAATTTGGTAATGTTTGAACAAGAAATGTTTAGTATAGAGAAGTTGATCCTGTTTCCCACAGAAATCAGTGGCAAAACTGTAGCACAGGACTGAAGGCTCTTAAATCCATGAGTCCCTGAGTAATCTACATTCTTAAGAAATGTAGAGTTCTAAATAGAGAAATCTAAATTTAGGATCAGAGCTGCATGTATTATCAAGTGTGTTACTTGGCATCCTGGGTGTACATACACAGGCAAAGTCCCGTTCTTGCCTGACACCTTTAGGTCATTGACTGTAAAGTACCATCAACTGAGCATGAATGTGCTGTAATGAGAACTGATTCTTTAAAAGGATAAATGAAATGTAGCACTCTGATGAAGACTGTTCGGCCTTAGACGGAGTTAGTAGTCAGCCTCCTTACTGGGAGTTGCATGTAGACCTTCTCCGTTTTTTACAAGCTCTCTTCTCAAATCTGTGTTAGCTTACCTGTTACACTGAACAATAAGCATAGGTACAGCCACCTGGACAGAGCTCTCTGCTGAGATTACACTGAAAGATTCCTTCTGCTAGGCTCCCCTCAGAAACATTATCTTCCATTGCTAGGAAAGTGAATAGAAATCATGGACTTAATCCAGACCAGGGAAGGCAAATCAAGAATGTCTTCCGTTCCTCAAGGCATACAGTATGTCTATAAGGACTTTATTTTTATTTGCTAAAGAAGTATCATTCAAATGATATTTGAAATTGAAAATTGGGACCTGCTGTTTAAAAACCAAATAAAATTTGAAGCATGTAGCTACTTTAGCATCTTGGCAAAATCAAGGCTTCTCTAGGAACCATATTATTCACAAACACAGCAGTTTTCAGTTTATGTATTTCCAACAGCTTTGACAGAAGTCAAGAAGAACCACTTAATTTGGCCAGTACTTGTGTTTGTGATTTGTCTGAGCAAATAACTTCTCACTGTTCAGCTAATCAATTTTGTTCTTTGCTCGATTGACGTGATGGAACTAACGTAGCAGAATTCCAGCCTTTCAGTGGTAAATCACACAGTTCAGAGAATTTCATTATTTCAGTTTGATTCTTCATGGCAATTCAAATTTCATTTCAGCTATTTGAGCATTGGGGTAATCTGTATGTTTCTCAAGCATTTTCACAAGTGAAGCAATGTTACTAACTGCTCTGCAAAAATTGACTACAAGAAGGGCTATTTGAGAAAATTAATTTTAAAAAAAGGAGTAGAAGATCAGTGCTGTATCTTGTGTATTTTATGCAGGATTTATTAAATCATCAAATTAATGTATTTCAGAGAAGGTGCTTTTATCTTGATCAAAGATCAAGGCAACATCTAATATTTGCTTGGTTTCCAGGAATGGCAATGTGCACAATCCAAAGGATGCTTCTACTTAGAAGATGATGGTGAAATCATTAGTCACAAGTACAAGTTGCACTTACCCCAGAGGTCTACAGTATGTATTACCATCAAACCTTTGAACGTTCATCAGGTTGAAGGTAAGTGTGTTTGTATTTCTTTGGAGAATTTTCCTCTATAAAAAATATTTTCTCTTCTGCTGATACATCTTTCCCTTTCTCACTTGAAATACTTTGCGATATTGCGATATAGCAATACTTTTCTCTGTTGACAGAGTCCTATTAAAAATATAATTTAACTTGTCACACCATATTTTCTGCTTAGTCGTTTCACACTCACTGCCTGAGCAGTGAAAATCAGCTAAGTCCATTATCTTTTTCCCTTTAGTCAGCCAACCTCTTAGATTATTTTTGGCTATAGATTTGTGAAGTTTCTTACTACAAAATTCAAACATTAGCACTGTTTGCAGTATCTCTCTTTAAGGTGTTAATGTACTTTGTGGTAAACAACAGTACAAAACTTAGTGAATATTGTATTCTCCACCTCAAATACTTTTGTAAATACTTAAAATAGGTTATGGCTTTTTATGGCAGTACGGTATCTTGATGTTTTGATTATGAATCTTGTCTGAGGGATTCGTAGCTTATTTTGCCTATTTTAATTTTCATCTTGAAAGAGTGAAGCCCAGCATTAGAGCCACCTGAGATTAGTCAGCCTTTGTGCTCCTTTTTTCCAAATGCTATTGGCTTTGTTCTCTCCAGTGATTTACCAAGGAGCTTTATCTAGTTGCTACATTGGAATTATTTTTTTCCCCAAGTAGATTACTTCCTCTTTAATCCTGTGAAACAGGAGCCATTAGATCCCAAAGATGTTTTAGTCATCTGGACTGGCTGTTGTGCTGCAGGTTGGTAATTGGTTCTGATTGAGGTTGGTAATAAAAACTTCACTGCAAATAACTGACAGAAAGTAGTCATTTTCCAATTACTATCTGGCTGAAATGGGAAGCTGATCAACAGACTTCTAATGGTGAGGAAATGTGGTCTGATACTAACAGATTTGAGTCACAGAATGTCTCGGTGTTCTGCTCTTAACTTTTCTTTTTCATGTGGCACCCTCGAAAACGGTGCCTTAGAATAGTTCTGCTGCAGGATTGTCCAGACATTCTGTGTAACCAAAAGAGTACTCACTTGTCTTTCGTAAAAAAACAAAAAACAAAAAACAAAACAAAACAAAAATTCTACTTTTGCACAACATTGTTGTCCTGTATATAGAAATATCTTTGTGTTTTGTTGTGAAGAGGAAGGCATAATACTGGGATGTAAAGAAAGGATCCATGTTAGCAGAGCAATTACCTTTTTATGAGAAATCAAAAATATCTTCAAATTTTTAACAAAGTTGTGTGGTGTGTAGCCACTCTTTAGTATTCTTGACTCCTAACGGTAGAAAAACTAAGCCCCTCACTGTTTTGCTGTGGTCTGATTAACTTGAAGACCACTAAATAGCTCATTGATTGATTGCCCTCAGGAACTGAGCAGCTACAAGAAATCAAAGAGGTTCAAATGGCATCCATTCGACATATGTAAGACCAGGCCTCCATTCCAATCCAACCGAAGACAAAGAAAGAACAACTAGTGATGCCATGTAGAGGGATCTTGCTATTTAAATCTTAAAAATAATTGAAACTTATACTTCTGAGATTTACATCTCCTGGTATCCCTAGCTTCTGCACATAATCTGGGTTTCCAGTCAAGGTGAGTTTAACAATATTTTACAGAACTTCAGAAGAGAATATGATATAATTTTGCTAATATCCTTAATTGCAGGTATCTAGGAGCCTTAGTATAAAGAAAAGTAATAAATAATAATGTTGTACTAATGGTAGAAAACAATGAAAATAGCTTCCTGAACTACCAGAGGTTTTAATATTAGAACTATTAATAGTAATCATTATTTGTAAGACAATCACAAGACTTGGAACAATTTATCTGATCGACCTAAATAGGAAGGAAATCCTGATAGCATATAATGGATTTTTTTTTCCATCTTATATTAACAGGGATCAATATTATAAATACCATGGAAACATCTACTTCGGGGTTCAAAGAAAACCAATTTTGAGCCATTATTAAGCATTTGTGTTGGGAATGTTTTTCTTTTTAGGAAAATCTTGTCACTGGTTGTCAGTGGATACAGCTTTGTATATTCTGAAGGAAAATGAAACCCAAGAAAATCTACAGCTTGTGAGCTTTACTGAACAACAAAACAAAGAGGTTAGATATTTTTGTTGTATTCCTAGTTTAATTGTTATATCTTTAGTGTATGTGTTAATGCTGCACAGATGAGTTCCCAATGTTTGGAAGGAATTCAAACTGTACCTAATCAGACTAGAGGAGAGAAGAAACACTTGTTCTGTGCATGTTCCCTTTCAAAATTGAGAGAACTTACACAAGGTAAGATGTAATACTGTCTTAGTTATGCCCTTTGGATGGGCTGAATTGCAAGCCACTTGTATAGAAGTTTAATGAAATTCCTTTGAGGACCATATTGTCATGTGGTGTGTTGGCAAGTATTGCTGAGTTGCTGGTTATCTGTATAGATACTCTGTGGAAACTCACTTGTATTTCTGCACCTTCAAAAACAAAAGTTCAAAGGTAAAATTTGTTAAAATTTCTTTTATTTTCTTTCTCCTTGCCATATATATATTTTGAACTTCATAGTGCACAGAATATTGTTATCCTATGGCAGAAATAAGGGAGGACAAATGGCAGCATTAAGTTACTTCCCCCTTACAAGCCATAGGGAACTTGGCTTGCTTCTTAAACCCTAAGTCACTTGTGACTTTTTCAATAGGAAGTTTTTGTTGCTAGTTTGAACAAAGCTGATAAATCAGGGAGGAAATTAAAAACTCGGTGGGTTTTGTCAGCCTACTGCTGGCTGCTTTTGTTTTAAAGTTTAACAATTAAAGAGTGTTACAAACCTGAAAAATGATAGGACTGTTATTAGACATTTCCAGTAATGACTGTTCTCCCCTCATCCCTGGTCCTGTATGTTTTTCTAACTTTTATTATAACTAAGAGATTCACTAGTTTTTGTGTCTTTAAAATGGCATCACACAGCATCTCACTGTAGATGTGTTTTCTTTAAGGAAAGAACCTAGCATTACCAGTGTTTTCAAGTAATTAATCACTTTTGTATGAATATTACTAGTAATAAATAAAGGTATCATTTGAGAAGTAACTTACAAACTTGTCTGTCTTCCTTTAAGAGTAGATGTTTGGATGGAAAGGGGAGCTTGGATCAGGCATTTACTGGCTACTCCCATTCACAACAGGCTGTAGGTTGAAGAAGGTAAAAACACAATTTACTGGAGAAGCAAAACTGGTGTATAGAGGTGAAGATGGAGAACTGGCTCTGACCAAAGAGTTCCGGTGAGTCATATTCCCAAATAGGCATGGTAACTATTGCAAAAGTGTGTGCTCCAAATAACATCTAGCTTTTTAAAAGCTGTATGTTACTAAAATACTGTTTGTACAGAATATTCTCAAATAGACTGAATAGTTATCGACAATATTATGAGACAGTAAAAGAAACAGAAGTATTTGGGAATAGTTCTGCCTTTTTAATCTTTTAGAGCCGTTTTATTGGATATATTTGAAACAATTGATTTGGATGGAAATGGCCTTCTAAGTTTGGAGGAATACAATTTCTTTGAACTGAGAACGAGTGGTGAGAAATGTGATGAGGAAGCATGGGCCGTATGTAAGGGTAAGTTTGTGGCTGCGTTTGATACAACTAATTAGGGCTATCAATCTACTTGCAAGCTGTTGTTTATAGCATCCTACTATATGTATCTAATAGAAGAACCGAGTATTTTGTAGCCTATACCAAGAATGCATGTAGATATTGTTCTCTTCTCCCTTTGTTTTTCTTTTTTTCCTTTTCCAGTCTCCTGTCTCTTATTTTGCTTCATTCTGGTCTGTGGGCTACTGACCTTCTGCTGAGAAAATTCTTCCCATTGTTAACTGCAAAGTTTTGTAGGTGAAAGATTTTATAGCTGCCAAAAACTACAGGTTTTCTAATCATGAATCATATGGTGAATTAAGCTGTAACAGGTATTCGTTTAATCAATCTCCTTTCTGCAGATTAAGCTGATACTGCTTTCGTATCTCAAAAAGTGTTGAGACGGACATTTAATTAGTGTGTATATGATGCTTTAAAAATGGCATCTGGAGCTTACGATGATTGTTTAGAAAATTAGATATTAGAAAATGCCTATTGCAACTATATATTTTCTTCGGATGTAAGCAGTTTTTCATTAAAAATCTGACTTTTGAAGGTTCAAAATAGGGTGTGTCGGTTTGTTCATATTGTGCTATGTGACAGCCATGAGATTCTGAGACTTCCGTGAGTGGGACGAGGAAGCTAACAGACATTTAAGACTCTTCCATCTGTACTTTGTTTTCTGTCTACTGATACATCTCATCAATGTTACTGGATGTCTTGCCAGCTTGCAGGAGCAGCGTTGGGCCACAAATGTCAATTTTGTTTTAAAGGAATTCTGTGGCATTGCTTTAAGCTTGCAGAGACCTTGAGATTGTGTGTATTTACCTCATAACAGGGCGAGGAGAGAACAACCACCAGTGACTGTAGGCTGCTCTAATAATACAGTGCATGAAAGCAGTGGTTTCAAAGCATTGGCGGTTTAGCTGCAGTGAGTAAACAAACTGGAAATGTAGAAGCCATTGTATGAAAACTAGAAGTTTCGCTAAGAAATACAGTTTTTCTGCAACTCATGTCCGACATGCCAGTATGGCATATCATTATATATCGGCCCATGTCACGTTTGATATAATTGCTTTGTAGGCTATGACACATTGCTTAATTTGGGCCAAAATACTTAAAATCTGGCAAGTCCTGCTAACTATTTCTCCCTAAAACACTCTAAGATATTGGACTTTTTCCTAAATGATAGAAAGCTCATGCAAAAATACTTTTCTATATATGAGTTTCTTGTCCCTTTCATGCCTGTACATGCTATTCCACACTTTATGACTTTGTCAGTGTTATGCCTCCGCACACTGGTCTCAACATGAGTAGGAGGGGTGTGTGCGTGAAGTGTATAAGAGAGGAAAGAAGAGAATATGGTGAATGTTTTAGCAGGTCATTAATCAGTTGAAGGGTTCAGATGAATACGATAAATCTTGACACCAAAGTTCAAGCCATTTATTATAGCATCTGGACCCTTAGATTTATTAAATTGGTAATCCCTTTTTAATAATATATAGTAAAGATTTAGCATTGTTATGAAGATGAGAAAACCATTTTTAAAAATCTCTGACACAAGGGCATTTCAATTATGTGTTTGCTGACATTAGAGTGGTCGATCTATGATATTCTATCAAGAGAGGGGTGTTAGGATTACTGGCATTTTATTGCTTTTTAGGAACTAAGTAAATCATTTCTATATCAAGGACCGCAAGCACTAAGGGTGCTGGCCCCAGCAGACTTTCATTTCCCATTCCTAATATACCCCATTCTGCAAATCTCAACCACAGCAAATATGGCTAGCAAAAAGAAAAAAAGAATCAATATGAACTCTTTCTGTTTTGAAATCTTGCCCTCTTTTGGGTTATACAAGGGGCCAGCTGTTTCTAGTCATTATCTAAAATCCACGGGGAAGCTCTGCAAAGAGCACATTATCTGGTCAAGGACTTTCTTTCCCAAATAATATTGGAGCGCCTGAGGCTGCAAGGTGGCTCCATCTTGTAAACATCTCCCAAAAAAGTGGGAGTTTGGCTTTGGAAGAATAAAGGGTGTTTGCAGAGACAGCAGATGTTTAAGTGCTACCTTATATTTCTTCTTAAACAGAGAATTTTGATATGAAGAAGAATGAATTAACAAGACAAGGATTTATGGATTTGAATCTCATGGAAGCCAATGACCGTGAAGGGGATCCAAGTGACCTTTGGGTCACTTTATTGTCTCTGGGCTACAATAAAGCATTAGAAATGACAGAGGTATGATAGCCATATAGCAAAAATAACTGCTTCACGTACAACTTGCTGCACATGTTTAACTGCAGTACTGCTTCTGTTGTCTGTCATAAATTGATTTCAGTAGGTCAGTGATGCAGTCCAAACAGTGTTAATACAGGGTTTACACCATGACTTTCAGTCATTATAGTATCCTGTTTCTTAGGATGACACTGACATTGTTGAAAGAGGAAATACGCCTTTTGCTTTAGAGAAAGCCAGTATTTTGTGGGGTTGTAGAGGAAGGAATCTTGGGTTATACCTGTTGAGAGAATTCACGCACCTTGCTGGTGGGAAGTGATAAGAAGACAGTGATGGTAAACTGTGACCTGTCAGCAAACCTACAAAATGCAGGACTTGCTCTGCTTAAAAAAGTCACTTTCTTGGCCCAAGCTGCCATAGAAGCGGATAAGGAGAAGATAACTTTTTTCCCCACATGATTCAGAATTTATAATTTTCAGACATGGCTATTTCTGTTGCCTTTCACAACAGTGTCTGAAGGTGTTCAACATAAAATTTTAATGAAAGGGCTTCTGGTGGCACACTGTTTACTTTACAGGACCAGGGATTATTTCTCTGATGTTTCTGTGTGCTTACAGATTTTTTTTTTTAAATAATTTATTTATTTTTCAGAAACAGTATCAGTGTTGGTGTTAATAGTTCTCACTAAAGAAAGAGGGTATCTTTAATGAATAGAAAAGAAATTATGAAAAATTAAAGAAAACATTAAATATACAGTTAATTTCATCTTTTAACTTTCATTCCCAAGAAAAGCTGATTATTTTTTTTTTTTAATCATAGTCTGATTATATTATTTCTTTACTTTTGTTAAACTAAATCAGGTCAGTGCAGTCACCATATAAAAATATATGTGTGTGAAACAAATACAAATACAGAACCAAAAATACTCAGTTTGGTAGAGAGACTTCAGTTGTCTCTCAGTGAAAATATTGAGATCATGGTGATTGATTTCTTGATGAGTAGCACTTTCTCCTTTTCCTGCGAGTATGGTTAGCAGAGCAGCTACAAAATTGTCTTTCTGCATTTCTGACATAAGAGGGAGCTATCCTCTAAGAAAGAAGATTTTTGGGGAGGTTTTTATCAAGTTAGAAATTCTGAAAAGGTATTTTGTGCCTTATACTAGCTGTGGTTTATAGCTATAGTCTTTGCTTTCCAAAGGACAACATAGCTCTCTGAATGCTTTAGTCATTCATCTGAAAATGTATATCTACTTAACTTGTGTCTATATAACTTAACCCTTTAATTCCTTGATTTCAGATGATTTACGAGATTGATATTTCAGGAGCATTGAGCCTAACAAATTAGAGACAGAACTGAGAAATTCTAGTGGATTCCAACAGCCATTTGAAAGAAACCGAGGTGCTATTACTGAGTCTAAGGAAATGCAAACTGGTTGTTACATGTACTAATCTTAGCCAAGATACTATAAGAGCAGAGTGCTTAATGCAACATTGCAGATATTTTAAATCTGTATGAAGTGGCACAAATAGCAAGAGGGTGACAGGTAAAGGAGACAAGTTTATTTCAGACACTGAAATACATTCATACTTCATCTTAATTCCTGTATGTTTTGCTATCCAGTGAAGGGTTTGCTATGTTGGAGCCAAATGCACCAAACTGCGTATTAAGTGTGCTGTGACTGGCACGAAAAACATTCATTTGTCCTGAGCTTTCATTTGGTTTAAAAGATTGCTACAGCTCTCAGGTTTTGAATATTTAATATTTCAGTGGCATACTTGTATTTGGGTAATTCTACTTCAGAGCATAGATGAAAATACTTAGGAACTGTGGATGAAAATCTGAGGGGGAAAAACTACAGATAAAGTGATGATAAAACCATTTTCTCCATTGCAGGCATGCCCCTTTGTCATTGACATCTATGCAGAAAAATGCAAACCCAGAATTAAAGCCATATATCTAGAGGGAGGGAGCTGGCAACTCAACAGGGCTATTTGCAAGTCTGTAGTTAATAAAGGAGAGGCCAAAGTAATGGATGGCTGTGAAAACATAATCATCTATACCTATAAAGCGGGCAGGAGAATCACTTCTGTTATTGAAAATAAGGTATGGCATGAGACTTCTGTAAGGTACTTTGTGTTAATGTCTATTATTATTGTTGTTCTTCCCTCCTTGCGTCATTTTTGAGAATTACTATTTCTGATATCAAGTTTCTCTATCTAGTTCATTTAAAAAAGAAAAAAAAAGTGCCTGATGCAAAGCTCTTTTTGACATATGACTCGGACCTCAAAAGAGTCTGGATCAGTGTTCTTGGAAGGGACAGCTTATTATAATGAGGCAAGCAGTTTTAAGTATCATATAGAATCTGAATATTTGTTTGTGTTCACGTTCCAATTTTTCAATATCTTGATAATTACTGGAGATATAATATGTTCAGAACGCCAGAAAACAAATACTAAGAACAGGAAATACAATTACAGAAAGAGCAAAGACTACAGCGTTTACACACTGAAAATATTAAATAGTGTATAAGAAAGAAAGAGCAGTGATTTGCATTGATTGTGTTTTAGAAGCATATTATGGATGAATTGTTAACTGGCTAGCAGTTCTACTTTATTGCTAATCCAAGTTAACCATTGTAAATCCAAGCAAAAGTGATTGGTGAGAAGCAGAGATTTTAAACCTTTTTGCATAGATCCTAATGAATGTGCTGTTCATTCTCAGTTTCATTTATATCAGGAACTGTGAGTAAATAAATACAGTGCAGTAAGCTGCTAACCTTAAGACGCTTTAAATCTTGAAAGATCACAGCAAGAAGTATATTTTTAAATGGACAAACATGCAAAAGGGGGTGGGTTGGTGGACTAATATTAGGACTGAATGCCGAGGCTCCTTGGAACTATGGGTTTAGATCTGCACTTCGGCCTTTAGGGTAGATATACTGGAGTTATTTATGTTTGGGGATATGTCAGAGAAGGAGATGAGGTCTGTACTGAGGCAACTGGATGCCATCCGATTAAAATCACTGACCACTGCCATTTATACCATTTAGGTTTCATAAGTACCTCTGTTCTGCGTTGAAGCGAATAGTTGCACTTCCCTGAAAATCTCATTAGAATTTGTAGACTGGAGGCTTTTTTGTATTGTAAATGTTTGGAAAGAAATAATGAAAAGGCAGGTTTATGCATCTGTCGTCTTCTAAGCTTCCCGCAGTGCAAGCAGTCTGATTATATCTTCAGTTATTATACTGATGATTTCAATGGAAAGAATTGTTTCTTTATTTCTGTAATTAAATTAAGGAAATATGCTAGTTGCTGAGGGATTCTGTTTTAGTCGTGCATATGTATTTAATCAGTGGGTAGAGAAAGGTGTCTGTCTTCTAACACTCTCTAGTCAGGGTGTGAGCTGGGGAGATTAAAAGACCTTGCATATAGAGCCTCAAATTTCTCAGGGAGTAAGCAGTACCAAGTCTATTGTCTGCCTATTTATATGCCAAAATAAATAGTTAATGAGGCATTTCCTATCATCCAAAGCAGAAACTTACTATAATATACCCTCTGTGCTAGGTGAGTATCTGTGACCTTGTTCCTGTTGCCATAAGTATCTTCCTGTACAGGTAATTCTTTTGTTTGCCTTTACCTCACTGCCATGTAGAAATGAGGACTTCACCAAAGTGATGCCAGAGCAGCTAGGTCAAAGTAATAAGCAGCTTAACACTAGATTGTGTTTACATTTCTGTAATGATACCATATTTCAAGAATTACTGTATTTGCACTCTGCTGTCCACAACCCTTTGTACTGTGAGCACCAGAAATAGTGGTTTGGTTTGGTTTGGGGTTTTTTTGTGGTTTTTTTGTTTTGTTTTGTTTTGTTTTTTTAAGGTCAGTCCTTACCAGTCTAGTAGTAGCTTATTTGCTGCATGAGGCTGATTGTGTAAAGTAACTGTGTTTCTCTTCCATTTCTGAATACAGAGAGATTGTTGGATAGCATTGTCTAAGAATCAAACATTTCTCAGCACCTCTGTCAAATTGAGATTTATCTAGAGACAACTGAATAGCAGAGTATAGTAGCATGTCCTTAGGTCTTGTGTCTGAGTATTGCTTGGGATAAACTGGTGGTTAAAGAATTTTCTGTTAGCCAAGCTTTCAGTTTTATATATTGGATCCTTCTTGCATAGCTTTAGCAAGAGCATCTGTTCTTTAAGTGATTATACTTATATTAATTTCGTCAAATATTTTTTTAAAATCTCTATTAATGAAGTCTTCAGAAATGGCCTGTAGGGGATGTTGCAAATAAAAATTGGGAAAGCATCCAGTGACACTTCTCCAGATCACTGTCCTCGCCTCTAGTGATTTGCAGGTCAAGGACTACTTGAGACAGAAATATTTTCTTTCTACTTAAAATCTAGTATGAATTTGTCCAGTCACCTTTTGAAACTATGTAAACTGTTAGGATCTGTAACATTCTGTGGCAAATAGTTTTCTCACTAAATGGTGTTCCCGAGTTGCGTCTTTGTAAGTGCTTAAGTTATTTCAATGAGTCTTAAATGACTTTTGACAATGGATCTGGGCTCTGATGATGCTAAGGTACATTTGAAACTGTACTCTTCAAAGATAATAGACATCAGCATCCTTAAAGCGTTTCTATCCTATAAAATAGCAAAGTCAGAGGAAGGAAGAGGAATGTGTAGTTGTTACATAAAGAGCAGCCACTTAATCATTGAGACTAATGGGTTCCTTCATGTTTTTTCACTTGCAGTCTGAAAACAAAGTGATTATTCATGTCAACAACGAGCAGAGTAAGAACTGCCTAAGTAATAGGGGACTTACTGTTTTTGCTGTGGAAGTGGCACCAAAATCCATGACGGTAAGATTTTTATTGTTTAGCCAACTTAAAATCTAAGCAAAAAGAAAAAATCATGTGACATCTTTACAGTTTCCTTTTGCAGGTCTTTTATCATGATAATGAGCATGTGGATAGTAGCATCTTCATCACCAGTGCAGATCAGATATAGGTCTTGATATTTCAAAGCTGAACATGTACTTGATGTATCCATGTTTCCCTGTGCAGATTGCTATAAAAGTCCGTAGCTGTTCAGTTTTTCATACGTGTGCCTGTTTGTTGTCCATTCAATACATGTACCATTTACTAATATTTTTAAATATTCTTTTTCTAAGGCTGTATTTTTTTTTTTTACTTAGCAAATTTTAATCAGATATATAGATGTCTGTGAGAAACAGACCAAGCAGAGACAAAAGTGTATGTATTGCACTCCTTACACACAGTGTGATTTGCAGATGGCTGATTTTTTTTTTAAACTTGACTTATGGATTATGTTTAGCCACAAGGCAATTTGATCTGCTGATCCCTATTCCAGAGCGGGACAGGCTTTAGTGAAAATTCTAAATGAGGGTTCTAAGGGATAGAATGAGATTGAAAATGCATTACAAATGCTGATGATATTTTTCTTCATTCATTTATGAAGAAAATCCAGTTTTTATCATTCTAAAAGTATGGTCTTTTTCTTTAAAAGAAGAGGCATCCAAACTATTTTATATTTCACAGCTTTCCAGTGTGGATGCATTCAAACCCGTTGTAAACAGATACAGTCCCATGACTCTGGCAGGATTGGGGCCTATTCTAATATTGCTGCTGACACTTTAGATATCTATAGCCTGATCCTGTAAGGTGTTTTATTAATCTTAATTTTGGCTTCATTCAGTATAAATTGTAGGCTCAGTGTCCCTTATGGATTTTTTTGCTGTCATGCAATTAAATTCAATAGTAAGTTTTGAATACAGCTGTCATAGGTGCTGAATGTTCATCATTTAATGTTAGTGATGTAAGTACTGAAACAGTTCATTTTGCTTACATAGCACTTCAGGTAACATCCACCCAGTTCTCCAATAAACAACTATTTTACCTCTGTTTTCTCTCTTCTATACAGGTTTCTCAGCACGTGATGCCGCTGAACGAGCAGGAAGAATGGCTTTATAATTGTGTGCATTCCCTCTTACGTTAAATGTTCTAGTTAGAGAGCTGTTTCTTGGTAGCATTCAGACTAAACCAGGAATTTTTTTTTGGCAGCTTCTAGGCAATTTCTAGTCTTGTCCTTCTCAAAAAGCTGGCATACCGTTACACTTTGCAGAGTTTGATTTGTTAAAGCCAATGAATCACATAAGTACTTACTTATTTCTGGTATCACACTTCTGCTAATGGCTTTTAAGAAACATGTATAGTGATAGCTTAGGGATGGAATAACTATGTAAAATCCTTTGACAGAGTAGAGTATTCATCATGTACTGTCTAACAAAATACATCGGCATGAAAACATTGAGATGATAAAAATTAGTACTGTTCAGTAATATAGCTGACAGTTGTAATATAATTGTGCTTTATAAAGGCTGTTTTCCCTAAATATGCTCTTATTTTCTATAACGTTATGTAGTTCCATCACATGCTGGAACTGTTTCACTGAGGAGAAACTTGCTTTGTTAAATTGGTCTGATGGGTTCCTAATTAAACACTCTTGTGGTTTTGACATGACAAGTATAAAGGGGTGAGGTTCATGATTTTATTTTGCCACCTGATAAAGGATTTGGTTCTTTCTCTTTTTTTTTTCTTTTTTTTTTTTGTCATTTGATAATAATACTCATCTTACACTTGTTCTGAATAATTACTGACTGTTTTTATACACTTCTGTATAAAATAAAATCTGCCTTTTCGTATGTGATAAGGAAAAAACATTAGTTGAGGAAAATGAAGGTTTTGTTTTAGGGTCTTGACTGTTAAGAGCAATTAATTATTTCCAGGGTAGCTGAAATAATGAGACTGAAGCCCACCAAGTTTAAGCTGCAATAGCAATGAAAAACAATTTTGAGGTACTAAAAATATTTAGCCTATTATGTTTTTCTAGTTCCTCTAAATGTCTGTTAATGTGGAAAAAAATGATGACCCTGGTCACTGGATGCTTAAAAAGTGTCTGAGTTTAAAATAGACATTAAATGTATGTGACCTCATCTGCAAGTAGTCTTGAAAAGCTATATTTATCTGCCAGCAACTCCTGCGCTCTGCTGTTACTCTGCTGTAATCGTACCCTGGGCAAGTAAATGTCAGTTACAAAATGAGAGCTCTGCTAGAGGCCGTCTGTGATTTACACGCTTCAGCAATTGGTGCTCAGGCAGCTTTACTGGTGATCTCTTAGTTTTCCATTTATTTTTTTTTTCTTAGCAGGTACAGCAGCTATCATTTTCAGAATTGTCTAAAAGAAGTAGAAGTTGTAGTAAGAAGCCCCACAAATATTTGGTAATTTCTAGCAAACAACTGAGCTCTGTAAATGCTGCCTCAGGGAAGGTGTGGTTACATCAGAAGTTCCTAGCTACATCTCTTAAGAAGGAGCTGGGAAATAATGAGACACTCTATGCGTACAGTACACAGTGCAAAGCAAGCACTCCGTTATTTGCATTTCTTTTGTTTATAAAATCAGTCTTGAAGATGTGGCAGGAATCGATATGGTACTCTTCCTGCATTTTAGGAAACAAGTGGTTAAAACTGAAAGAAGTACTTAGCTGAGAAATCATTGTACGTGAAAAGACTTGGTTTTGTCTAGGGTCTAGTTAAACATGACACAGTAATACAGAGTGGAACCTTTTTTCTGATCCTGTTGCTGCTAGGTAGAGTTTCATTACCTTAACTTTTTAGGTGGGAACACAGGCTAGCTCTCCGTGGTAGGTTCTACCTTTCCTGCCCTGGAGGAGATGAGAATAGAGATCTCGGTCTTATCTGCAAGGTCTTTTCTAATAATGTACCATCAAGGTAGAGAAACATTCTAGCTTCTCTTTTTAAGGCTGAACACAGGTACTAGCCTCTTTTCTTCAGTGGGAGACATTTGGGAGAAAAAGTGTCTGTAACAGCTGTAACATGAATTTCTGGAATGCTGCCTTTCTTTTGAGAACTAGAGCTATAATAACAAAATGCAGCTGCTTTGTGGCTTTGCTAACGCTGGCCTTCCCAGACCCCCCTTGTGTTTGCATTGGGTGGGTCTCCTGCTTGTGTCGGGTGGTCAGTTGAGGCCCGGGGTGCCAAAGCCTGCTTGTAAGGGCCTGTGGTGACATCCTGCTGGTGGCCGTAGGGACACGGGGCCTGGCCCGTGCAAAGTGCCAGACTGCCGAGGTGCTTGGTGCTGTGCAAACCACGCCAGGACAGAGCGCCTCAGTCTTCCTCTCCCCGCACAGTGCTTGGCAGCGCAGCGTCGGCATCCTCTGACAGCTCCTGGCGCAGAGATCCGCGGCTCGGCAGGAAGGCTGTCGTCGTCGTTTCGCCTCCTCCTTACCGCCGGTACGAGGCCGGGAACGGAGAATGGAAGGGATGCCCCCTGTCTCCGGGGCTGGCGGCGCCTTTAAGAGGCGGGCGGCGGGGCGGGAGCGGTGGCGGGGCCGGCTGCGGCTGCGGCTCCCCCCTCCTTC